TCAATATGAATTTCTAGATTGAAAAGTGTAAAGGTTAGCCAACCCATACGCACATTATTATGAAATTTCAGACAAGAGGCGGGGGTTCTGGGTACGATGTAGTAAGTTACTGAGGGCCAACCTGCATACTAACGCCAACGAGAAAAATCAATATAATTTAAAAAAAATTTATTTCTTAATATTTTTGCCATAAGGCATGTGTGCTTGCTGGAGAGACAGAGAGAAGGAAAGTGAGAAATCACTCCCCCTCCCCAGGGATCAACAATCCCTTTTCCTCCACTCTCCTCTCAGGATTTTGGGCCTGAGCAAACATGTGCCTGACATGATTTTCAAGCTGCTGGATCCAGGACTTGAACTGTGGTCAGCCATGTGGGAGTCCAGTAACGTAACTACCATTCCATCTTTGGTCCCAAGTCACTTAGTTTAATAAGGTTTTTTTGTTTGTTTGTTTGTTTGTTTTTGTTTTTTTATGCCATGGGGCGTGTGTGCTTGCCAGAAAGACACGGAGATGCAGAAAGTGAGACATCACCTCCCAGGACGGGATGGCCATGTCGCAATTCCTTTTCCTCCATTCTTCTCTCGGGATCTTGGGCACGCATGCACACTTGCCCAGGGTAAATTTAAGCCACCGGGTCCAGGACTTGAACCACGGTCAACTACGTGGGAGTCCAGTGACATAGCCATTACACCATTTGCTGGTCCCAGTAAGTGGTATTTGGAAACCATTACTGAGCTGTGGAAGACAAGAGGACCAGATGGACTAAAATTCTAGAGAGAGGAGAGCCATTTCAGGGTATACTGACAACTTTTGTTTTTAATCCCTGGGGGCATATAATGGTTCTGGGCAGGGGATGAGGATCTGGGCTTAGGCTAGACATCGAACTATTATTGGTGAATTATCACACAGAGCCAAAATGACAAATGGAGACTCAAAGAGCCTCAAACACAACCAGTTCTCACCAGATTTGAACTGAATTCCAAGACTAAAGAGCAACTTCAATAGTTTCTGAAAGGCAGAATACAACTTCACATCCTCACAATGGTTGGGAAGCCAAGTCCTTCTGAGGGAGGGAGCCCCAAAACAAAACAAGTCAAAGATTATAGCCTTAGAGCAGTGCTCCTCTTTAGTATGTGTCGGAATCACCTGGAGCACGTGTCGAAACACAGATGTTCGTTCTCATCCTCAGAGCATATCATTCAGTAGGGCTGGCTGGGACCTGTTTCATTTTTTAACATTTGCCCAGGTGATGCTGAAGCAGCCAACACGTGGGCCAAACTTTGAAATTCATTGCCCTGGAAGGAGTGGAGAGTCAATACTGAAGACCTTCAGCAGCATTTCACCTGGCAGCACTAAACCAATTCTGGGCACAGTTAGAATCTGATTTCCTTTGGCAGAGAAGCTGCCACCGGAGCCAAAGAGTTCACATTCATGCGAGGCTGGGAGACAGTACTGGAGACTTGAGAGACCTCTAATCCATGGTCTGTCATTTCCATTAAGACATATTTTCAAATTTTTGAAACTACATGGGAGTGTTCTAAGCTGAAAACTTCTGAATACGTCTGATAAACGAATCTTATAAAAATTGAAGTATGTGTCTGCCTGAGTCAGCTCAAATGCACATCTAAATGGAAATGTTCCGTTTAGTTTATCTTCTTGACAAAGAAAAAGGAGAATTCTCTCTGGTGGAAGTTATAATTATTTGAAGCATCTACAGTTCTTTTGTATACGATGTCCAGAAAACACTGAAAATTAGTAGACATGAAGCGGCAAGACCATATGATTGATACCCAAGGGAAGGAAAAAAAACAAAACAAAACAGAAAATCAAGGCACTAGATGATCCAGATATTGTAATGAGCAGACAATGCTTTTTAAAAATACTGATAACTAATATGTTAAATAAAGAAAAAAGATGGATAACATAGATAAAATGTTGGAGAACTTCACAGAATTTAATCTGTGAAAAGGTATCAAATATATATTCTAGAACTAAACAATGCAACACCTGAAGTTAAGAATGAAAAAACAAATGATCTAGATAATAGGATAGAATTCACGTGAAACATTCTACAGATCTGTATGGATGTAATTGGAATCAAAAGAGAGGAGAGAAATAATAAGGGAAGAAGTGATATTTTCCCAGAAGAGAGCTGTCAGAAGAGGACTCAGCCACAAGACATTTGGTCCTAGGTGTTGGCAAAGCAAAGAGCACAGGGTTTTCAGTCCATGCAACGGTTCTTCTCTGAACAGCAACCGAGCAGATAGGAGGCAAAGCCCAGAAGGTGGACAGTGATTCAAGTTATCCTTCCGAAACACTGACTGACCCTCCTGGTGTCTGTCAGGAAAAAGTAGAAAAGCCACCTCCTGTACCTACCAGAGCCCCAAACCTGTTTGAACTGGACCAATCAAACCGTAGGCGATCAAAACCAAAGAAAAAAATCTTAAAAGCTGTGATTTATTGCAGGGGATGGGGGGGGGAGGGGAAACAGGGAGAATGAAATCAGACAAGGCCAATGGCCAAAGGGTAAATGGTTTGATAGCATCCTGTCCAGAGCTTGGAGATGCACAAGGGACATAGGAGCAATGTACACCAACACACAGCTGCTGCACTGTGAAAATAGGGCTTTGCAAGCTTGCACCTGCACTATAACTTGCGCTCGATCGATGGCTGTTGCATCTTTGGTCAGTTTATATACAAATTGTGCATGCACTTCTTGAGCGGATATACTTTAGACCTAGAAATCTTTATGGTTACATGAAACACCAGAAATAGAGGAAGATGGCACCATGGAGGAATACCTCAGCCTGACACCATAGTGGTCCAGCTAATCCATCAGACATGGTTTCCTTGCTCCCTCAGGTACTTTGGATATGGTTATGGCATCTGTAGGCTTGGGGGTGAAGAACTGAAGACAACTGGTGCTGGGTAGAGGAGTCTTATTTTTTTATTATGGCAGCTTGCTGTTTTTATAACATAGTGGTAGAGTTGAACACAATCATAGTACAACAGTAACTGATCTCCCCTTCTTCCTGGATGAGTGAGCAGATGATTCGATACTGATGTCAGCATCCTTGAACATATCCAAGTGAGAGTGCTCGACTCCTCCTTCTGTTTGAAATGATTCTGTTTTGATTGCGGTCTGAAGCTTCGAAGCGCTACTTGACATCTTCTTTGTTCCAAGGTTCTCTCACCATTCAAACATGACAGATTTTATAAAATACTAGTTAGGCTGAGTCTTGCTAGCCTCTACTTGGTCATCTTTGTATGAATCCAATGGTTTGTTGGTGGGGTTTATTGGCTAAAATGTTTTTGTTTCTTCTTTTCTTCTTCTTGTTCTTGTTCTTCCTCTTCTTCTTCTTTTCTTAATGGTTTTTAGGTGATATTCATGAAGAGCAGTGAGTACCTAGAACTGTGCTGCTAATGAAAGGAATCCTATCTAAGAAAGTGCATTTCTTTACAGAACTTTGTTATACCATCCTTGGGCCCTCTGTTGGAAAAGTAGAATCAAGTCTCAAATAATGCCTTTTTAATTTTTAATTGTATTCTCTAGTGTTGTAGATGTAGGACAGTACCGTATCATACCCCTGTGAATGTAAAATGCCTTGTACCTGCTTTATGATACATAATAGTGACCATGCTTTACCAGAGCTGTTTTTAATGATGTTGTTCTAGAATGTTTTCTTTCCGGTTGATGATTCAGAAGCTAATTTTTAAAAAAGATGGTGCCGGGAACCAGCAGTTAGCGTAATGGCTATGTCGCTGGACTCCCACGTAGTCGACCACGGTTCGTGTCCCGGACCCGGTGGCTTAAAACTCACGCC